ACAGTACTTGCGTCCTGCGTCCTTGTTTCTGACAGACAACATACATCAATACAGAAGGAATCCAGCGTACGTGCAAGAGCCACCTGTTGACCTGCTTGCTTCAGTGTAAGAACATTGAAGGTGGCTAAGTAGACAGGCTTTCGGGGTTTGAAAATTGGAAGCCAGATGGGTGATTAGTTTCACTTTTCGTCTGTTCCTACTCAGCGAGGCAATTCAGAGGACTTCGCTGATAGTGGAAATAACTCGGACTGATATGTGCATATTGAGAAATGATTCACCTTAAAGTTGCAACTGACCTTGTGTTAACAAAGTGTCAAACGTCTATCAATGGTGTCTGCGGTCCTGATATTTAAAACATCGATTTCAGGACGGAACAGATATGTAAATGTTGTTAAAAGTAGCTTTTATGGGTAGATGTTAGCGATGGGTTGAGTTATAATCCGAGTTTCATGTACAGTCGAACCCGGCTAAGCCAGAACGACTCACCTTGGTGACAATATTCAAGTTTGCCTGGCTGACCTGTACCCCCAGAGTGGATGATTCCCCGTTGGCTTGGTCTAATTTACCAACCGTCCTCAGCTCCGTTTGTGTGTGTGCATCAACAGTTGCCTTGCTGTAGTTCGGCTGCGAAAGCCGCTGTAACTTTGACTGCAACTGGATTAGTTTTGCACTCAGATCTTGTTCTTGTCTCTTCTGTTTTTGTTCCTGTTCACCTGTATACATGCTTTAAGAAAATAAGGATGAGCTAAGCAAAGAAACATCGATTAATCTGATCGTACACATCGATTTAAAAAGTTTTCTCTCCATTTTGCTTTCCATCATTATCTTTCTAGATGTATTGTCAAATTTTCTCAAGCAACTCTCAAGAATTTCGAATGGAGAATGAAGACTTTTCACTGAGGCTGACCAGTTTAGCGCTTAAGGTGCAGTCTTTGTTGGTCTCGACTCGATTTGCTGCTGGTCCGTTTCTGCGGTTTTGTCTTTAGGGTTAATTGGTCACCGGAGGTCATAGGATGGCTTCGTGATCTTACAATGCTTTCGTTCATACTCCACACCGAGTGGCAGAGAAATACTAGAGAGCGGTCTCTGGCAAGCGAGTTTAACCGTTGACTATGCGTTTCCGGGTAGAACAGTTGAGGACATATAGCAAGTGGCTGCATAACAGCTACATGTATGAAGAAACCGATTGGATTACACAAAAAGCTTCACGAGATACTGAATTTTTCCGCACTGTTTCTTCCCTCAACTGAATCCTGAGCTGTGTAAACTTGATTGGTACATGTCATTCTAAAGGCTGTATGAGAATCTTTGTTTTTCTGACCTGGTTAGAAATTTGTTTCTTTAAACATTGTTCTGGTAAACTAAAATCCGGCTACAATGACCCGTGCGCACAATCTGCACCCTGTTGTCAGATTTTAATAATTGTAATACAATGGATATGATTAGTTTTCTTCTCACTTCACAGGCTACAACGGATGCCTTCGAAAATTAAAAGTACACAGGAACGATGAGGTAAAGCATTGCTTTGATCCACAGACAAGCGCAAAATTGAAGCTGTGTATGCTTCCCCTGTAGGGACATTTTATATCTGGTCCTATAGATGTAGTTCACTCCAACTGTGCCCGGGACAACAATTCAGCCTTCGGTATCTCAGAAGGTCCTGCCTCGGCAGTAAGCTGCTGACGAATTTCGAAACTTTATTAGGGCCGACAGGTGACCACTTGGTGTGGATTTCACGATAGAAGAGTGCGGGTTAACCACAGTGATGGACGACCTCAGGCAATCGTATCCTATGGTCTTCAGAGTGGGGTTTGTGAAGTGCGCACTGATGTCCACCAAAAGGAGGTATGTTGTTGCTCGGCTTTTCGATGCAGGTTAACTTCACTGGAGTGATCAAATCTCCACTAGTACTATTGTCGTTTATTTTTGGAACACAAAAATTAAATCCACCTGATAGATATGAAGAGGTACCACCAAACGTTTCAATCCGAAAAGATAACTCCCAACTTATTTGAGAATGTTCGGTAAGGAAATACATATGTAAAGACCAGCGAATGAAGAAAGGAGAAACAAGGATGGGTGATCTTCAAAGCACAGTCACGACTCACACATCAGGCACAAGGTGTCCATCATGCCGGGTCAGGCATTAAAGTAAGTGACATGAATGAACCTCAACGCCATGTGTCTCCCGTAGAGGTGTCATAAGCAGCTGAAGAGCCCAAGATGCTGAGCAAACACAATTCGATGACTGTGGCCTCGGGAAGTCGCAGATTACTCGATATGAAATGACCTTTGGTTGGACTGAGTCATCCCACTTTATCCTTGACTGTTATTTGGAAGTGCCTTATCTGTTCCGTGCAGGTACCGCTATTATACACTAGTTGACGCCGTGTTCTAATGAAAATCATTTAAATCTTGAACGCCGGTACACCCACTAAGTACATTGGAATCGTTTTAATATCAACCTTCTCTGGGACAGCATGCAAGGGAACAGGACGCTTCGGAACGCTGGACTATCAGGGAGGTCGGATTCCTAAAAGTAACCACTGAATACCAGAAATCTGCTGAGAACCTGAACTCCGCTAGATGCTGACCAGACGGACAACGCGCCCTCAATATGCAGTACGTCACAGTCTTGTGTCAAAGCCAGATAGCGCGAGACAGTGTTGGACCAAGGTCAGACAGTGTCGCTTCAATAAAATAGCTTGAGTCCGTTGTACTTTCACACACACACTCTCGCACTCGCTTGTTCGCAACAAACCTGTTGTGTTCCCTTCGGTGGGTCTTTTCCCGGAACTAGGCACTGGAGCGGTGATAGCAATCAGATACAACAGTTTGTCGGATCAGCAGATATAACATGGCCCCACCATTGAGAGACATATTTCAGGGTGAACTTCAGCCATCAGCCTTACACCTATCCAGACTGTGTGATGTCACCTAGCGGGGCGTTTATCCTGTCAACTTCCGCTGAGTTGAGAAACCCCGAGACATATTGTCAGGAGCAGGAACTCAGAAACGTCTACGTGTGAGAAAACGACCTGGTGAACGCTTCGAAAAAAGAATGGAGGTGCACTACCCGAAAGACATTCAGAAGCTGACGGTAACTACACGAAGGGATCAATGATGTATTTGAGTCAAACGGGCCTTCCCTACCGGTGTGAAGGTGTTCTGGAGTAATCTTATGAATATGCTGCGTGGGTTTGCACCTTTTCTAGTTTTTGAAGCCCGGTTTTCATCCAAGGCTCATTCAAATAAGCTCCGACACAGAATTTCAGGCAAAAAATTTGTTCATCATCATCAACATTGTCAGCTGTAATAACCGCGTACTCGTCGTACAGTGGTTGTAGCTGCCACAGTTTCGTTCACCGATGATTCGGGGAGGTGGGGTAGGTAGCTGCGCATTGGAGGCGGGAGCTGATAGACTGATGCTTAAATACAGCGCTGTAGGAGGACTATTAACTGAGGGGATTGGGAAGGGAGCTATGCATTGAAGGCAATAGCTTGGATGCACGAGCGCCATCGAGGGCGCGACTGGGCCATGTCTCTAACCATTAATGTGACTCGTCTTGGAGACCCCATCCAGGAAGACGGCAATGACCAGCGAGGCTGAATTTGCTGGTAATGGCTTTCACACTTCGCTGCCAAATCAGTGTTTGACCGCCTCGGGTTCTCTTCCACCCTTCACGTGGTTGTGCGAAAAGAGCCCTTCGAGGAAGTCGGTCTAATGGCATACGCAGCGCGTGACCAAGCCAGCGCAACCTATACAGTGTGACTAGTTCATCTATCGAGGGTGAGTTATTTCTCCCGATTACCATTCGACGTACTTCAGAATTGCTGATCCGGTGTTCCCACCAGATTCGGGCAACGCTCCGAAGACATCGATGGTCAAGCACTGAAAGTCTTTTGACGTCCTCGGCGAGAGAGCGGCCAGGTTTCTGATCCCTTTAGTAATATGGAGCGCACCGCAGCATTGTAAACTCGACCCCTGACAGAGAACCTGATGTCACGTATACGCCACAGGTGACGTAAGTTCGCAAAAGCTGCTCTGGACATACCATCTTTCGTGACAAATAGGGAAAATCGTTAAATCTCTTCACCAGAGAAGCAATTTAGCATATTGTAGGGGATCCTAATAGTCGTGAATATACGTTTTGTGCATAAAAAAGCGTTAAACTCTCACCTTTTCAACAATCTTTCATTGGCTTCTTTCAACACAGCATTTTCGCGTCCAATATCTTCAAGACTAATTTGTAGCTTTAAAGAAACAGAGTAAGAAGGCGTCAACTATGCATTGGAAGTATATATAAATTATTTTGCTGAAAACCATTCAACAAACAATGACTGTTTCTGAGGTTCTTCAGAGAGGCATCATCACCTAATTCCGCTTCATCCTGACGAACTTTGTTTTCTTGGGATCTCGGGGTAGGTCACTGGTTATTACCTGGAAACACCGTGGTTAGGAGCCAACCCCAAATATGGGTTGGAAGAGATATTTTACAACTGAATGTGCTGCACACAGGCCGGCTCATGTTTCAGTTGGCCCTATATTCGAGATATCGCAGTATATTTTCATAAAGGAAACTCCTCACAAGGTTGGTGAGAACATTTCGACAGTCCACGACCGGTTTCGCCCTTCCAGTTCGGGCGCATCAGGTAGGCGCAGTCCCCGAGTTTCCGTCAACCTTATGATCTACTTGAACCCAACTTGCACTGTTTTCGGGAAATTCACTCATTTGCAAATCAGCTGAGTCTCTCGTAAAAACCAAATTGATTTGCAAATGACAAAATTACGTTTTGGAAATCATTCCAGCATACGAGCATTTTGTGAATTTTCGTAAATTTTGCCCTTACTCCGGTCTTTTTCGGTTTGGGGAGTGATTCACCATTACAGCTTGGATAAATCTGTAAGTTTGGTGCGAAATTAGATCTTGCGAAAGTTCATCTTACGTGGTGGTATTTCTGCTGGATTTATCTTTTCGCAACAGTGCTCACAACTTGACTTAATTCATCGTTCTCGCCAACTTACGTTGCACAAAGTATTTCTTTTTTTAGTTATCTCTATCATCATACTTATAAGTTTTTTTAGACGGAATGCGTAGAACACACTCGGTGCAGAAAGACATCCTCACTGTGTCCCACTGAGACAGCGGATGCTGGATCTGTCGAGATCGGTCTCACATCGTTTGTGACTAACGCTACCGTCCGAAGGAAGATCACTGTTGAATTTGTTGGAGCCCCGTGTGGTCTCCCTCCTCAATCACCCCGCTCAAGTTTCCATGCAGCATGCAGCGTGCTCCTTACCTTCGCTGTGCGAAATTCCCCAGTTGAACAGATGCTTTAACGCAGTCTGTCACCTTGATTCCAAACCTATTCCTCAAAGAGATTCCCATTCTGAGGACACAATCGTGAGTCATTTTGTCAGCCTCTGTGCTGCTGTCTTCACTCAGCCTCACTCTTATCGGAGCCTTCTGGCGCAGTTGTTTCCATAAACGGGTTTCCATGTGTCAGTCTTTGCGCCCAATCTCCACGAAGTTTACAATGCTTCTAATTTTCCAAAGAAGCGTGAAGAAACCCTTCATGATGAAGTATCCCACTGACGTGTTTACATTAGGTCAGTAATCTTCTTTATAACCATCCGATGAATTCTGCCTCTGCGGCCAATCGCATCATACTCACAAATATTGCAACGTCACTAGTAAAAATGGCGTAAACTTGTACGTTGTTCACAAGATCGTACAACGAAAAGGTACATCAAGACTCCATCCTTCTGTAGCGCTTCCAGACCATGTGGGTTGTATTTTCTGCTTGATGTTCCAAGGCATCACCAGAGCTGACTCTTATTCTCCAAGAGGTGTAAATTGAAGCAAGTGAATCATTTTGGTTTTCACGACAGACTCAATTGAATCTCTCGTTTATGATTGTGACTTGTGACCTTGTGAATAGTTTCCTTTAGGGAAGTATACTGCAATATCTCGAATATCGTGCCAACTGAAACATGGGCCGGCCTGTGTGGAACACATTCAGTTGTAGAACATCATGAACGAGAGATTCAGTTGAGTCTCTGGTGAAAGCAAATTAACATGCAAATGAATGTATTTCTCGAAAACAGTCCAATTTCGGTTCAAGTAGAACATAAGGGGATTGCGTCTACCTGATGAGCCCCAAGAAGGGCGAAACCGGTCGTGGGCTGTCGAAGAGTTCTCATCAACCTTGTGCGTAGTTTCCTTCAAGTAAATCATTCTGAATGAGGAATCAATGGGGAATAAGAGAATGGAATTACTAAGCATGGAGCTGCCAATGAACCTAGTGGATGCGAGATAAGTAGACAGTAAAGCAACACAAATTCCGACGTAAACAATCAAATCAAGTACCGGACAATTCGCAAACAACCATTTGCGCTGCGCATACTAACTGCCTTTTAGAAACAATATGAACGTAAGCAGACGTGAACAAATCACACATCAAGACCTCGCACTAATGACGTCTTTTCGAAAGGTGTCGAAACCTGTCGCCATGCTCGGGGAAACAGATCAACTGCCACGCAACCATCAACCAACGAAATGAAACTCTAATGGTGGTAAATCGAGGACTTTGTTTAATACATCTTACCTTTTATTGTCCTACATCGACTTCTACTCTGTAGTCATCTTATCTTACTCGTCGTTTTCACAGGATTCTCTGTCCGATTTATAACTGGCGAGTGGAACTCAATGCAACCGCGACCTAGCTATTCTCATAATCCCGATCCACGATCCCATCAGCCTGGAAATATTTATGTTCATCCATTATTTCTAACACCATTTTGGACAGTCACCATCCTATTAACATTGCAACTATTTTGTCCGAAATTCCACAGACTGTATTGTGCGGACTAGTGTTAAGCACGAAGTCCCACCCCTTGACCACCTCTGAGTTGCCTGCGCTCGATCGTCTACCCGGGCTCCATCTGACGACGAAGCGAAAATGCATTTCTTGACGTTGTGTAGGTTTGCGATCAAAAATTGCTTGGGAGCCTGCTCCAATACTGCCTGTCTTTCGGAAAGCCTGCTCGGAAAATCGAGTTGTTCTGAAATTTCTAATCTACAGGGTCATTCAGGAGTTGTCTGTTTTTCGC